TGCACCAAGAGCTTGTAACACTCCAAAGAGAAAGGAAAAATTGAAATCGCATCATATGACCCCTTTAAATATGTGGAGGGAAGATATTCTATGAGTCATATGTTTTAAGAAGTTATTATAAAGTACTCATTGTGGAATAGCTGTTGTGGTTTATTGTTCTTTGGCATTCTGAAGGTTGCAGAGGGACAAGAGATTTGTGTGATTGAAGCCATGAAGATGCAGAACAGCATGACCGCAGCAAAGACTGCTAAGGTGAGCTCACACACACATACTCCTCCTCACTACTCTGTGCATCATAAATCGATATGACATAAAGAACACACTCTTCCACTAGAACAACATACGTTGTTTACGCAGTGGATACTCTCCAAAATGGTGCTACAGGGTGATGCGGAGGAGACGAATTGTTGAATAAAGTCGTTATTTTTTTTCTTTTGCGCACAAAAAGTATTATCATAGCTTTGTAAAATTACGGTTGAACCACATGGATTATCACATGGATTATTTTACCGATGTCCTTGCTACGCTTCTGGATCTTGATCGTGTTATGATCCTTGCTGTCTATGGAGGGTCAGAGAACTCTTGGATTATGACAGAATTTTCATTTTTGGGTGAACTATCCCTTTAATGTCAGGGTTGTTGTATTTAACTAAAACTAAAACCATAAAAATAATTTTATGTAAAACATTTTTACATATAATATTTTTCAGCTAGTTGCCAAAACATTTCTCATTTAGACTTAGTTTGATTGATGTATTTGATGTACTAAAATGACTGAAACTAATAATAAAAATTAATTTAAAAAACTATATAGACATGTAAATAAAACGAATAAAAATGACATCAATTGCTAAAACTAAAATGAAAATGCAAAATATAGAAATAAAACTAATTAAATATTAATCTGAAAACTACAATAGTATCTTAGTGATACTAAAATAATGCAGCTTCATGCAGCATGTGTGTGTATTTTTCTTAAAATACTCCAGGTTCATAGTAAAGTTTAGAATCACTGAAGCATTAACATCAGTTGTATCCAAAAAGTATTCAAATTAATAAATTCTAATTATAATTTATAGAAAAAGAAAGAAATTACTTTAAAATGATTCTAGGGGCCCGAAGTGTTGTCCTAATTGAAGAATCATCTGTATGCATTTGTGTAGGAAGATCTGTACAGAAACAATGTCAAGTGGTTGCAAAGATATTTCTTTGTGTGATTTTAATTAAGCAGGGTTTTCTGTCTGTCTTAATATGGGAGCATTAGTTTCTTGTTAGATCATTTTCTCCAACATTTCTCTGGGAAGCTTCCTGTGTCCAGTGTGTTTGATTGACATCTCTGACTGACTTCAACACACATAGCTTTTTCAGATGCAGAATGGTTGGACTCTCCTAATAGAATGTGTGTTATCGTTCAGGTGAAGAGTGTGCACTGTAAAGCTGGAGATACAGTCGGAGAGGGAGATCTACTGGTGGAACTGGAGTAGCAGATCACCTGCAGGTTCTGAAGATCATCAGTCGCTGTGGATGAGCAAACAAAGACACTAGTAGAGTAGATGGAACACTCCACCATTTGTTATTTTTTTACTCCTTTTTTTTTCCATTATGACTATAATGTATCCATCTGCCTGGAATTTAGCTGGATTCTAGTGAAGGAAATGTCAAAACACTTAGATCTCTTGTGCCTTGGTTTTATTGTTTCACATGGAATTAACCACACATCAGCAGCAGTTTGAACGCATCTTTAAATGCAGTCAATGTAAGCTGTTGACACTTCCTCCCTGTCTCTCTACTCTCTGTACATTTAGCATTGTTTAGAGGAAGTGCTGTGAATGTTTTGCATTGCTGCAACTCATTTTTAATTATTAGGTTATATTATGCAATGATTTTTCTGCTCCATGATTATTCAAACACAATATAGGCCTATTCACTCTTCATCTTCAAATCACCAATCCCACACTGATTTATTGAAGTGTTTCCAACTTGTACCTCATTTCTGTCATCAAATGCATTAAACTCAATTTGTGATTATTTCTGTGCAAGTTGTTCTTGGATCTGGAGGTGCACTGTTCAAACAGTTCATTTGCTTGGGCTTTAATTGTTCAGTCTTTTCCTCTCTTTCTAAAATTGAGAAATCCCGAGGAGCGGAGCATTACCAGAAGGAGAAGGCATATATGATTACTCACGGACTAACAGACTGTGGTCAGGCTTGGAGGAGGCACTGGTGCTGTTTCCTGCTTTTTAGCACCGAGCCACTTAGATCCACTTTCTGTCTGTATTTGTTTTGAGAAAAAAATGTAATTGTTATAATAAAAATGGGATTAATGTAAACATTTCAAGTGCTCTTGATTGCTTGAAGCCTCAGGCTTGGAAAGGAAACACATTAAATGCATTACTGAAATGAATGATTTGATTGAATGCTGTGTGGTAGCAGCTATTTCCAGAAGAGAAACAGACGCGTACAACAGTTAAACCAGTTTGATTTGTTTTTTTTTAATGTAGCAACCTTTTTTCTCTCACAAATTTAACAAATGTAAACAAAATAAGTCAGTTGACCAAGAATTTGCCTCAAATTGGGCCACTTTTTTGTAGTTTCGAAAATGTTTGCTGCAAGTTGTCTCCACTGTAACGTAGTTTCCTGTTACTGATGTACAAGACTGAGAGAAGACAAAGAGGATTGATTTCGCTAAAAAACATACTGCCTGTGAGTGTAAACACAACAGTATGATCCTTCAATACCCCATTTGGTTTGTTAGGAAACCGATTTAGACTTGCTCATTGTCGCAAGTGACATTAATAATAGGATTTTATCTGAAAATACAACATGTAGTAATCGTAAAATTAGTGTAATGTGTGTTTTACATACAAACACGTTTGTTCTTCACTCTGAGCTGTTTTAGTTCAGCAGCGGCTGTCAGTGTAGAAACTGGATTGCATTGTTATGGTTGTGCTTCAGAACGGTCACAGCTCTGACTGTGGCCTTGAGCTGACAATAAAACTCAATACACACACTCAGAGACTCCACCCCACTGACCTTTGACCTTTCTCAGTTGCTCACATGTGAAGCTTTATGGCCATAATATTTCCTGTAGCCACTGTGAGAGAAACTGCTTCCTTGTTTTATTCAATACTGTAAAAAACAGAAAAAACAAATGCCTTAAACCCGGACAGCACTGCACTGGGTCGTCGGTTAACACTGTTTAATTCTCCTCAGTGAATCCTTTCTTTTAAATACGTCGCATGCAGAGATTCAACCGTAAACTGGACTTCATAGAAGGCCTCACACTGTAGTGACTCTCATGACCAGTTCGCGGTTGCTGTTGCTGGTCTGTCCACGCGGCTCCTGGGGCCTCAGGTGGTGGCTGAGGAGATGAAGGATGTTATAAGCACAGTGGTGGTCTGGCAGCGAGGACTGCCCATTGCTGGGCTCAGATGAGTCCTGCAGCTCTGTCGTGGCACCTGCTGCCAACGGGACGGAGTTTGTGGTGGGGGTTATGGTGGCTGCTGCAGCTGCAGCCATGAGGGAGGACGTGGAGGTGGAGGCTTCACCTTCTGTGCCGGTCAGCCCCATTCGGTGCGTCAGCGGCAGAGTGAGGGTCCGGAATGTGGCACCGGTCTTCTGATGCTCCTCATTGGCTTTCACCTTGTCGTAGTTTAAGACTTTCCACTGCTGATTAACAGCCTGCCAGCGGTTAAAGATGCGAAATACGGAGGGACCTTCGTGGACAATCAGAGCTAAAAGAGAAGGAAAGACGTATTTGCTAAGTGAGGGATAATGTACAGTCAGGCAGTGTTATGAACAAATGGGTCCACCTAGAAAGCGATTCCATTTGCTGAAAGACTTTTTTAACAGGTACTTTAAGGAAATAAATACTTTTATTCAGCAAAGGTGCATTCATTTGATCAGAAGTGACCGTAAAGACATTTAGAATAATTGCTGTTCATTGAACTTTCTATTCATCCAGAAAAAAAGTAGCACAGTTTCCACAAAAACATGAAGCAGCACTGTTTTCAACATTGATAATTATAGGAAATATTTTTTGTGCAGTAAATCAGCATATTAGCATTATTTCTGAAGGACCATGTGAGTAATGGCTGCTGAAAATTCAGCTTTGCATCACAGGAATAAATGACACTTTATAGTATACTCACATGGAAAACTTATTTTAAATTGTGATAATGTTTCATAATTACTGTATTTTTGATCAAACAAATGCAGCCTTGGTGAACAGAAGAGACTTCTTTCAAAAACATTAAAATAGTCTTATTAAACTCACAGTTTGGACAGTAGTGTATGTTAATATAATGATTAGTGCCTTTAAAATATGCTTAAATCTTCTGCTTAGAAACAGTCCTCCTAGCAACAAGACAGTAACTGCAAAAATATTACAGTAATATTAATATTTAAGTACTCTTTTTTTACTACAGTTTACTTGTGTACCTGATACGCAAGATGGCGGCAGTTGAGTTATGTTTCTTTAAAACATAAGAGTCTATGGTGTGATAAGAGAGACATGAAAGTAGGGCTGGTTTCTGATGACTGGATAACCGGAAATATCACTCTATTGAATGGGAGGATTGACCAATCACAATCATGTATTCCAAAGAGCCGTGTAATAACTAGTAGCTAGTTATTCTCATACTAATACACATGAGATTCACAGATAAAACTTCACAATATAGAGTTCTCTCTTCTATTTCAAAACACTTGAATACGTTCAAAACTCTTGAGTACTCATACTTTTACTCGATTACATTTCCCAGGCTAAAAAATATTTTTTACTCCTCACGATTCATTTAGTTCTCCAAAGTGCATAGGTCATAATGACATTTTACAAGCCAACTGAATTAACATTTCAGTAACATTTAAGTACATGATTATTTAAAATTACTACTTCATCAAATAGTGCACCACTTTTCTGTACTTAATTACTTTTGGCATTTCATAACCTCTTAAAGGAACACTCACAAAATAGGCTCATTTTCCAACTCCCCTAGAGTTAAAACAGTTGAGTTTTACCGTTTTCGAATCCATTCAGCCGATCTCCGGGTCTGGCGGTAGCACTTTTAGCTGTAGCTTAGCATAGATCATTGAATCTGATTAGACCGTTAGCATCTCGCTCGAAAATGACCAAAGAGTTTCTATATTTTTCTTATTTAAAACTTGACTCTTCTGTAGTTACATTGTGTACTAAGACCGACGGAAAATGAAAAGTTGCGATTTTCTAGGCCGATATGGCTAGGAACTATACTCTCATTCCGGCGTAATAATCAAGGAACTTTGCTGCCGTACCATGGGTGCAGCAGGCGCAATGATATTATGCAGCGCCTGAAAATAGTCCCCAGCACGCTCCCTGTGCAAGCAGGTGGTCACGTTGGTTATGTTGAAGAGTCAAGTTTTAAATAGGAAAAATATAGAAACTCTTTGGTCATTTTTGAGCTAGATGCTAACAGTCTTATCAGATTCAGTGATCTATGCTAAGCTACAGCTAAAAGTGCTACCACCAGACCCGGAGATCGGCTGAATGGATTCGAAAACGGTAAAACTCAACTGTTTAACTCTAGGGGAGTTGGAAAATGAGCCTATTTTCAAAAATAGTGGCGTGTTCCTTCAAATCCATTGTAATTCTGCCATGAGTAAACAGTGTGTGTCTTGAGGTTACAAGGTTAATACAGACATTTTCCCTATTACAGAAAACAGTTTACTTCAGCATTTTAATTGCAACATTTCAAATCTCAGTGACATCATGGATCACGGAAATTTGCAGTGCACAGTGAAGAACCTTTGGAGAAACCAGGCTCAGTCTGGGGACCAGTACTCCTCTGGACTAAGTGAACAAACACGGTGTGATACAGATCGGGAAAGTGTTGAGGTGTTGTCAACCTGATTTCTTTGTACTTTTACATCTCCAGCTTGGTTTAACTCACACCATTGTATTTGTTTCTTCAGAGGTCCAAATAGAAAGACAACGGTGATCTGCATTAATATTTTATGTGACACTGGGTTCCCCTCTGAATGCCTGCAAGAACTCTACACTTCTTTCTTACACAGACTGCTACTATATTTCCCCTCTTTCGATTTTCACTCTCTGAGCTCTGATGACAGTTTTTTGTTTTTTACAATCCAGCTCTCTGCGAATGTTAGATTACGAAGGCTTGTTTCTAGTGGAGTTGAAAGCGATCTCGAATGGCTGTGAAAGGCTAGTGCCCTCCCTACAGCCCTGAGGTTCTCCTCTCACTCTAGCTGCTCCAGAATCAATGAGATAGACCACTAACACACATTATCACTGTACACTGCAGACCACTAAATCAAGCAGCGTGTGAGAAGGTAATAACAACCCACAGTTTTCAATCGACTTTTCTACAAGAGCCTAAGCCAAAGCCCCAGCGTTGAGAAAACTATACATGCTGGAAATGCACTGAATTTGTTTCAATGTTCATATCACATCAGTCACAATTGTTCGGTTAAATGTGGGGAAAAGCACTAATCCTAGAGTTGATGCTGTAGTGGTTACTGTTATTACTGAAGTTTCTTTGGACAGAACAGAAGTATCCACAGTGGCATTTATATGCAGCAAATGCGTACAAGTTGAAATTAGGTTGTGGAGGAGTTTAATAGCGTTCCAGTATCATGAAGATGCCTACTGCTGCTGCAACCTGATTTTCCAGACTCTCTCTTTCTCTCAGTCACTCTTCCATGGTTGGACTGCACATCCTCTCACTACAAGGAGAGAATGTGAGACGTGTATTGATTGAACACACACACACACACACACACACACACACACTGACAAACACACACATTTTCCTTGAGCTGAGAGGATAGCTGAAGGAAATTCTCAGGGAAAAGCTTGAATTTTTATCAGCAGTTTATAAACTGCTGTAGTGTGGGATTTTTTGGCTCCCAACCAGTCCCACAGTGGATGGGAACAGGGCTCGGCTGTGAAAAGCCACTTTGCCACCTGTCTCTTCTCTTAGCTTCACTCTCAATCTTGCTCTCATTCTCCTTCATTTTTTGTCCGCATAGGGCTTTGCTTTCAGATGAATCTATGTTATGGCAGATGATTTTAAACCAATGACTATAATTAGGTGCAAAATTATTTCAATGTTAAACCGAAGGCTGTATGAGTAACATCTCATCTCACCAGCAATCTTGAAATGAACCGCAATATCTTGTGTAATAGTGACAAATAATAATATATTGCAAAATAACGAAACTCCTTTAAAAGCTTTATTTTATTTTATTTTTTTCATTGTCACAAGAAGTAATCTTGATCTAACTATAGTTAGTGAACCCTATTCATGCGGTATAAAATAAAACAGCTAAAAATATCTCAGATGATGACACTCTCCTTATGAATCTTAGTGACCATATAAAAATTACAGCAATATTCACAATGTTGTTTAAATAAATGTTGGCAGCAGGTTTCTTGAATCCATGCATTCAAGCAAAAAAAAAAAAACAATAAATAAATAAAATATCACTTTAATCTCTGTTGTAGCTTTATTTGTTTATATTTATTGTATTTTGAGGAATGTTTTAATGTACCAAGTCACTTCTCATGGTACTGCCAGCTTTAGATGTATCATTTATGTTATATTGTATTACTTGTTTGTAACCCCAGATACAATCTGTAGACTTTCCTTGCATTTTTCACATCGATTTTTGACAGAAATATGCAGAATTCTGTGGAATTGGCATGGTAAAAATTCTTAAACAGAGATGATAATACATTTATTGGTAACTGAATTCATCAGCATTTATCCAAAATACTGTATAAGCACACACTGGATAAAAGCACCGGCTAAATGAATAAATGTAAATGCTGTGTGATACATTGTTCGTAATATTCGGCCTGATGTCCCCTTCCTGTCAGGAGGGGAAATAATAAAAGGTTAATGCTATTCCCAGTGATAATGTTTTCAGTGAAACCATCGCCTTTAGGCATTATCTCCATTCTCTCCACCTAATAAGACAGAATGGACTCTTGTTCTATCTCCCTCCCAGTCTGGCTGCTTATTTGAGACAGAGCGATACATCACGGTGAGAAACTCTTGAGGAGCTCTGCCATTGATCTACAGCACACGCACGCGCAAACGGATGAGCCACTAAAACATTCCCGACATCACTATTGTTCAGCTCTGTCCCATTCACCCTCTCTCTTTTTTTCTTGCAGTAATGATTACCTGAGATAGCACTGCTCTGAGAAGACCTCATTATTCCCTCTGAGCCACTAGAGAGGCGAAACAGCCATTCCACTTCAGGTTCTACAGCTTTGTGATGCCCATTTATACTGCAGGCACTAGGCGGCAGATATTTTGCATTGCAGCTGTCATTTGTGGATGGCTGCAGTTGTTGATGCTCTTGCTGTAATTTCCATTTTACTTAATGTCCAATCTGTGAGTTGTCTAAACCTCGTACATCAAACTGCAGTTTTAGTGCAAGCGTTCTGTCCAATACCTGTGCATTTATTCAGATGGTTACATGCATACAGCAGCAGAATACAGTTGTCATTTGTGAGTATGCAGTAATTGTGCATACACAATTTTACACTCTAAAAAATCCTGGGTTATTTTTTTAACCCAAATGCTGGGTTGAGCCTTTTGGGTCATTTTTTTGGGTTATTTTTTCAGTGTTTGGGTAGTTTTTGTGTTACCCAGCTCCTGGGTCAAATGTAACAACCCAGTGTTTGGGTTGTTTTGCAGCTACTGGGTCAGACATAACAACCCAATGT